GTACTTGGGCCTGAAAAAGTGGCATAGGGACATCCCTACTGGATATATTTACATTTTATTTTAAAGTATGAAATTTGGAACGCGGCCCCCAAGAGAGAAAACATTTGTAGAATGGCCCCTGAGACGGAAGAGGCGGGGGGCGAAGACGGAGCTCCAGTCGGGCGGCGAAGATAACAAGGAGGCCGCGTCGGGCGCCAAGGATGAGGAGGGGGTGTTCCAAAGAGGTCAGGCCGTGCACGGTAAGAGATCTGTGCTGGCAGAGCCCAGCATAGATTCTGCACAGCCCACCAAAGAGTCTCAGGTGGGCTGTGCAATACCCTTTGGTGGGCTCTGCAGGATCCGTAGGGGGCTCTGCAGTCTGCAAAGCCCACCACAGATCCTGCACAACCCCCCTGAGATTACTGTAGGGTCTCAGGGGATCTCTGCAGGATCTGTGGAGGGCTTTGCCGGGTCTCAGGGGGGGCTTTGCAGGATCCATAGGGGCATCTGCAGCCTGCAAAGCCCACCACAGATCCTGCACAACCCCCCTGAGATGCTGCAGACTGTAGGGTCTCAGGGGATCTCTGCAGGATCTGTGGAGGGCTTTGCCGGGTCTCAGGGGGGGCTTTGCAGGATCCATAGGGGCATCTGCAGCCTGCAAAGCCCACCACAGATCCTGCACAACCCCCCTGAGATGCTGCAGACTGTAGGGTCTCAGGGGATCTCTGCAGGATCTGTGGAGGGCTTTGCCGGGTCTCAGGGGGGGCTTTGCAGGATCCATAGGGGCATCTGCAGCCTGCAAAGCCCACCACAGATCCTGCACAACCCCCCTGAGATGCTGCAGACTGTAGGGTCTCAGGGGATCTCTGCAGGATCTGTGGAGGGCTTTGCCGGGTCTCAGGGGGGGCTTTGCAGGATCCATAGGGGCATCTGCAGCCTGCAAAGCCCACCACAGATCCTGCACAACCCCCCTGAGATGCTGCAGACTGTAGGGTCTCAGGGGATCTCTGCAGGATCTGTGGAGGGCTTTGCCGGGTCTCAGGGGGGGCTTTGCAGGATCCATAGGGGCATCTGCAGCCTGCAAAGCCCACCACAGATCCTGCACAACCCCCCTGAGATGCTGCAGACTGTAGGGTCTCAGGGGATCTCTGCAGGATCTGTGGAGGGCTTTGCCGGGTCTCAGGGGGGGCTTTGCAGGATCCATAGGGGCATCTGCAGCCTGCAAAGCCCACCACAGATCCTGCACAACCCCCCTGAGATGCTGCAGACTGTAGGGTCTCAGGGGATCTCTGCAGGATCTGTGGAGGGCTTTGCCGGGTCTCAGGGGGGGCTTTGCAGGATCCATAGGGGCATCTGCAGCCTGCAAAGCCCACCACAGATCCTGCACAACCCCCCTGAGATGCTGCAGGATCTGTGTGGGGCTTTGTCGGGTCTCAGGGGGCTTTGCAGGGTCGAGCGCTGTATCTCGGTATGTTGTCCTTGTAACTTCCCATACTCTAACACAGAGTAGAGGCTGTGACAGCTCTTTCCTCACTAGTTAGGTAACACAAGCAGTGGGGAAGCACACTGCTGTCAAACCTAACTACCTGTCAAAAGTTGGATGCAGCTCCGCCTGTAATTAACAGACAGCACTCCATCCATGACAGGTTACAATGCGGGGAGGATTTCCCTGCTGTGTAACTTGCTAGAAGCCGATCTGAATTGAGAAAAAGCTGTCACC